TTGGGTCAGAACCAGTTCTAGCCTTTGGGTCAGAACCAGTTCTAGCCTTTGGGTCAGAACCAGTTCTAGCCTTTGGGTCAGAACCAGTTCTAGCCTTTGGGTCAGAACCAGTTTCCTCCTTTGGGTCAGAACCAGTTTCCTCCTTTGGGTCAGAACCAGTTTCCTCCTTTGGGTCAGAACCAGTTCTAGCCTTTGGGTCAGAACCAGTTTCCTCCTTTGGGTCAGAACCAGTTTCCTCCTTTGGGTCAGAACCAGTTCCTTACTTTGGGTCAGAACCAGTTCCCTCCACTGCCCAGGAATCTCTCTGATGATTGGTCCTGTCTCCCTGCAGTCCATCTCCAATGTCGGCTGCGGTTCCACCAAGCTGTGCTTCAGCCAGCCCACAAACTGTGATCCCTCCACCAGCTCCAACTGCTTCTTCATGTCAGCCAGGCTTCTGACTCCGCCCAAATCCGGGGTCCAGTATGAGCTGTCCGGACCTGCTCAAGGATACGTAGCTTTTGGGTGGTCAGATGATCAGATGATGGTGAGGAAACCAAACCAGATGTTGGTTATGAAGTCCAAATGTTTCCTGGACCTTTTCAGTGCTGCAGTGTCAGAAGGTAGAGGACAGAAGATTCAGTTTCTGCTCTGTCTCCCATCCTCAGGGTCAAGATGACATCTACCTCTGTGGCCTGAACAGTACTGGAGCTGTTGATGTGCAGCGGGCCTTCTCTGTTGGACACACAGCTCCAACGGTTCAACCTAAGGTACTTCATCCCCACCAGGACGCCCTGGTCAAGGAGCATTCAGAGGTTGGTTCCTTACCCCAAACCATGACCAGTGAATGTCTCTGGCAGGGAGCCATCTCAGATATACAGACCTCCAACCAGAACGGGGTCCTGGCCTGCACATTCACCTCCAAGAACGCCATCTTCACTTCCAGCAACTTCAGCTTCACCTCCAACCAACTCTTCTACCTGCTGCTGGCCTATGGACCCAGCTCCAACGGTAGGAAGACCCTGACTCTGCAGGTCCTCGACAGAAT